AGGGTCCCAGGCTAAAGGTGGGGTCATGTGGGGGGTGGTCACAGGGGATACTCCCCTGGCCCCCAGCCTGTTCCCTACCCCCCTCCCCCCCACCAAAAAATTTCCCCACCAAATTGCTGTCCCTGCCCATCAGGGTAAGCCGCTGGCGTGCCAGGGCGTGCCAGGACACTTTGTTTACTTAGGTTTACCTCCGTGCCTGTGGACGCTCGAGGTAAACAAACCATCTCGGCCCGCCAGCGGCTTATCCTGATGGCCTGGGAGCCAAAGTTTGCCGACCCCTGAATTATAGGGTTGGCTTATCAACGGGTTATAAAATTTTTCCATTTTTACTTATCCATCTTGGGGGGGTCAGCTTATAAATGAACCGGCTTATGATCAAGTATGTACAGTATTCTTCTAAATGGAAAAGATTTTCAGTTTGGGCAGCCTATCATATCTGTGGCCCATTGAAGACCCCTAAAATTATTGATTACATTTAGGCTTGGCAGAATTCTATATTTATATTTTCAGTGGATAATATCAGTTTGTTTTTTCAATTTTAAATTTTCACAGTTGTGCAAAATTATGTGTTTTAAGCGCTTTTTTTCTATTTTTATCAGTTGAAATTTTCACAGTTGCAGGAAGTTTGGAGTGGAGGGCTAAGACAATGAGGGACGGTTTAGCTAGCAAGTTGAGACTATTTTCTTCATTTGGATTAGTTCATTCAAAGTTGAGAAATTGATTAGGAATTGAAAAAGTAAGAGAGCTTTTTTCCCCTCACTCTCTTCCAGTCTATGAATTAATAACCAATTGGAAAGGGATGAGATCTGCTAATTCTAATAACTTGAAGGGCATAGGACCAGATTTTCAAGGCAAGCTAGGCACCTAACCTGCTTAGGTGCCTAGTGGGATTTCCCTATCTCCATCTTTAGGCACCTAAAGACCTTTGGAAGTGTGGCCCATGATGACCAGAAACAATCCATCACTTTACTAATGACAGTTAATTCCTTTGTTTAATAAATCAATTTTAAATGAAAAACATACTTAAACTCTTTTTTTCTTATAGTTTTAACTAAAAACAATTATAAATGCTGTTTTTGTATATTTTAAAATGAATTTGAATTCTAATTTCCATTCAAATGCCGCTTGACACAAATCCAGAATAAAACATTTTCTAGTAAATAAGATATGAGTTAGTCACCATTTTGTAACGTAATAAAAATGTAAAAATTAAGCATCTGAATAAATGTATGTGAAGCTGTATAATTCCTTAAATATATAGTGTATCCTCCATGCTAGCATAAAGATATTTGGTTGCATATCAATGTTTAATGCTTTAGAAAAATAACTAAACCACAAATGCAAACAAGAATAAACTCAGTGATTTAAACCAAGATTTCCTATGTGCTGATTTAAATCATCTTGTAAACCACTTATCTAAATTCTTTGATTTAAATCAGCCCACTGTGCTGAGCGGGGTAGAAAAGATTATAAGGAAAAAATTTGGGGAAGGGTTGACAAGAGCTCAGTCATTTTGCTGCTCGCTCCTTTGACGATTGTGGCATCTCCCTAACCTTACTCATTATTATCCATGATGTTGCTTCTTTGATGAGGAATATGAAGATGGTCAACATTTACCAGAAAGCAGTGTATATTCAGTTGATTACAAAGGAGCTACAGTAGTTTCTAGGAATAAAAATAAGAAGGGAACATAAAAATGGTTTGAACAAGAAGAAAACTAATTTTCCTTTTTTTTTTTTTTTTTTTTAAAGGGGACAATACATCTATTCCGCAAATCACAAAGAACAATAGCTAGCAAGTTAACACAGGAATTTAGGTTGGTAGCAGCTGATCGAAGGGTAAGTTAATTTTTAAAATGGATTACAAATGTAATTTAATTGTGATTATGCCTAAATGATTAGTATATTGTTAACTTTCCAGATACATATCTTTTTACCCTTTCCTAGCTATGCTTTCAAAAGTAGTTAAGTAGACATTTTAATTTATATTTTAAGTTAAACATTCATTTGGGTTCATGGCCTTGTACTTAAGTGTGTGTTGAAGTAATCACAGAACTTGAAAAATGGCCGAAAATATATCTGAAGAATGGTAGGAGAACAATTTAAGAATTAGTGAAGTACATATTGTTTTATAGATGGCCTAAATAGTAGTAATCTGCTTTACTCCACTATTAGCTGCACCTGCATTGTTTTCACTGAGTTTATTGTAAAATTTAATTACTTTCTAATTTATGTGGTGTCCATTGCCATTGATTGAGTGCCTCACGTTTAATTTTAAATCAAATATGTGATGCTCATAAAGCCTTATGGAACAGATAAAACATACTTGGCAGTTAAAGGCTCTATCCAACTCCCATTTCTTTAAGGTAGAAATGAATTAGACCTCTGTCCTGAAAAAACAACAATGAAAAAGGCCATAAGGATTGTTCTGTACATGGTATCTTGATAAGATTCAAACCCATCGAGAGGGAATTTTAAAGTAGCTTTGCAAAACTGTCATAAAAATTTACCACCGTAGTCACAAAATCTGTATACCTGCTGTTTACTTTGATGAATGATTATAATGAAAAATCATGTGATATTTGATTTGTCATGAAACCGAATTAAACACTCCTGGTGGGTGAAATTTTGCAAGGCTGCTTTGAATTGTTTAATTAAAATAGGGCTAAATCCTGGATTTCTTACTCAGACAAAATTTCCAGTGTAGTGGGGGAAAGGAGTTTTGCCTCTGTGAAGAGTGCTGGATTCGACCCCCTACTACTTTTTTTTTTTTTTTTTTTTATTAAACTTAAAATTTAGTCTGTTCTCCCCGTCTCTCTGTCTCATTAATGTTCAATGAGGATGGTTTTCCCCCACCCCACTGTTATCCGTATCAGCTGTGGGGAAACAGAACAGGGGGGTCTTCTTTACTATAACAGCTTAAGCTATGAGTCACCACACTCCGACGCGGACCCTCCCACAGAAGCCTGTTACACTGATAACCTTTGCCCAGAGCTGGAGCAGGCCTAAAAGCCTGAACCAAACTGCACAACATAATGTTCTTTTAATATAACTAAATAGTAAGGAGGAAGTCTGCATAAAGTCTGTTGGTGAGCTAACTGCTTTAAAAATATGATAATCATAAGCTTTAGAGATATAAACCCGCAGTGTTACTGAAATATGATAACCGTTACTGAAATATAATAACCGCAAGATGCTAGGTGTTGAGACATTGGTCTGCAAAGAACTAATCATCCTTGCTGCTACTATTGTTTGCAATAATACTCTAATTCCAGCTATCTGCAAACCAGCCAATGATAGCTCTCTTTTAAGCATCCCCCGAAAAACCCCCCTTAGCTCTTACCGAAATCCCCCGGAAAATGACATGTACCAAGTCTTAAGAAATGTACCTAAGCCAGAGTTGAGCACCACCCTCGCGGAAACCACCAAATGTCCCCATGCCCAATTACACCCACTTCTTGGAACATTAAGAAAGAGGGCGAGGGGAGGAGGGAAGAGTGACCCCAACCCAACACCCCAGCTCGTGATGAGCGCGTGTTCACCCAAAGCCCGGCTTGTGATTTGCCCTTGAGCTCGTGTCCACTATATGCCCAGCTTATGATTGGTTCTTAATTTCTTAACTAATGACGTATTAATTGTATCATGCTTGTGGTTTTAGTAAATAAAAGCAGCCTGCGTGCTGCTGTTCGGGGTGCTAGCTTCCGAGCTGCACCCCAGTGCGCACTGGTTCGTATTGCAATAAAGGCCTCAGGCTCTGAGTCTGTGAACTAAAATCACTGCGTGGGTGATTCTTTCCACGACAAGCAGTACTCAGTTTACAAGTAAAAATGCTCTTACTGACTACCAGACCTGCAAACTCAGCCTGGGATCTGAGAGTCAAGCTGGGTTGTTTCTTATTCATCATCACTAGGAGTAAATGTTCTGCAGGCTAAATTAGGTCCATATTTACACCTGTGCAACCCTAGTGTCTTCAGTTTCAGCCCCAAGTGACACTAGTGCAGCCCATTGGCTACAAAGGCGATGCACAGGTGAAAAGGAACGTCTTAGACAATGTACATGAAGGAATAGCTTCCAGCTCTCTCTTAGCTCTGTTGTTTCTCCACAGTTAATAGGAGTAAAGCTATAATATATTTTTATCACTAAGTAAGCAGGTGTGTACTTTACACAGATCTGCAAGTAAAAAGGTGGCATTTTTACATAGTTAATTTTCAGAGTAGAATTGTTTTTTAAGGCTGATGTTTCGTGATGCATGTACCATGATGCTGTTGAAAGTGAGTTGTCAGGTTGCCCATAAAGTTAGCAAAGCGAGGTGAGGGTGTTTAATAGTTTATTTCAAAATAACCCTTTTTTTGGGGGGGGAACACTACATGTGTAATGAAGTATTGCAGATTTTTTTAATCAAGCCAGGCATATTTTATCATATTTTGTCTTTTAAGCCAAATGGTTACTCATGTAATTACTCTTATTAACAGTCCTGGAAGATCTTGCTGTTTGGTGCAATTAATTTAATATGCACCGGTTTCCTGCTTATGTGGTGCAGCTCTACTAACAGTATAGGTATGTTCTGTTCTTGTATCTAAATAATTATCTGTTGTTGAGTTTTAATTTATTGCAATGCCAGCATAATAAACAAGCAGGGCCCTGAGTATAATGGAATTATACGGCTGTGCAACTGGCCTCTGCATAATCAGTTTAGGAGAACGCCCTTTCTGCAAGGCTTAGGAACTGCACCTGGCCAGTGAATTCTTCAAGGTACTCACTGTTCCCACAACTGCTTCTGATGCTGCTGCTTTCCTTGCCAGTCCTTCTCAGAGCTTCCTTCACGCAGAGGTTAGAATCTTAGCACTAGTGCTTCAAACCTTTATTCAAGTCAGTAGTCCGATTGACTTCAATGGAGACCCTCCCATCCAATTGTGATGTAATGGCAGTGGCGTCTCCTAAATCCATGTGTATTCTGCCCTGTATTCCCCAGCCAGCCCTACAATATGTGTCCTGGTTTTGCATACAATACACAAGACATTCCCATGTATCTGCAATGCAGATACAGTGCCTATATTTTCACTGTGTGGTGCAGTTCTAATCTTATTTCAGTTTGAAAAAATGATTATCAAAACATTGCTCTAGTTCCTATCTTAGCTAAACCAGTTCACCCTTCCCTTTATTGTAATACATACACAGGCACTGTTACTGTTGGGATGGAAACCTTAACTGAGAATTTCCTGATTTTTCCATGTTTAAATTCCCAACCTTAACTATTCATGATTAGATGCTCATCAATGACTAAATACTTCAATATTTTACATGGTTTCACAGAACTAGTCTTGTGTTAAGCAACTTGTTTTTAAATGAAATATTAGCGTAGTTAGTACTATGTATTACAGACAGAAAAATACAAAAACAGTTTTAAGACGTACATTTTCATACTTTGAGATAAGTTATGTTTTCAGCAAAGAGAATTTGTGCAGATAGAAAAAGATAATAGCTGTGTCAGGGAGACATTGAGGGACACATAATTTTTGAAGGCAAAATCACATATAGCGTTCTTTGTTGCTTATAATGTAAAGTGTGTTAAGTGTTTAAAATGTTGTTTTCACAGCTTTAACTGCCTATACTTACCTGACCATCTTTAATCTTTTCAGGTACGTTTTTTTTAAATCTGATCCTACAAATTATCAATACTTGTAAGAATATTCTTTTTACTAAATTTGAAATAGGGTAAAAATAGCATGAATAAATATTATGTTCCAACTACAGAGTTATTCATGACTTTTCATAAAAACATGCAAGAACTGACTAGTTGGTTTAACAATGTTTTAGATTAAGTGTATATAAGATTATGTGACAAATAGTACATAAACTTAGAAGAAAACAGTGACTAATATCACAGCTCTGATAAGAGCAATTTAAAAATGTCAACTATGTTTAGATTTCTGTACACAGCTGCCTGACGTTATAACAAAGTAAATTGAAAACAAAATCCACACTGTGTGCCAAACTAGTATCTCTTTAATTGGTTGACTCAGAAAATTTTACCACCACCGGTTCCACAAGTATCATTTGTAAAATTTGTTTTAGCTTTAGGGTGGGGGAAGTGATTTTTAGTTTTACTTCTGTTTTGAGGGCCAGATGCTACAAACACATTGACTTCAACAAGACTGCTAGTTTTTGTAAAATTAAGCATGTGTAAGCATTGTAGACTCTTGACCGTATTTACTGATTTCTGATCTCTATTCCTGAAGAATGGGTGGTAAATCTGTAGTTCATTTTCTCATTAGGTATAATTCGTATCAATTCAGTTCATTAAAAGAAAAACTGGATCACTCTTAAAAAAATATATTTGTATATCGGTGATGACCTAAGATTACTAAAAGTTGAAGTCTGCTGGAAAATGTCTTTGAGAGACTAACAATATCTTGTATTGTCCTGAACAAACCTTATGGAAATAAGATAAACTTTATTGAATTAGGATTAATACTTTTGGGGTACATTGTATTAAAACTGCAATTGTGTATGGGTTATTGTGGCATTGTATTACTCCTGGGGGAATTCTGTGCCAAAAAATTAAAAATTCTGTGCACAATATTTTAAAATTCTGCATATTTTATTGGTCAGTTTCAATTATTTTGGTAATTTATTTCAAAATACCTGTCAGCAAGTATGTCTGGAAGATTCTCCCAGGAGTAGAGAGTTAAAGAAACCCTTACAAGAACCCAGTTCCTGTTTCTCTGTTATGGTTTTGTTGGGTGCTTCCATCTGGGTGTGTCACACGTGCCAGCTGGACATATCTTGGGGGAAAAACTCTCTCTCTCACCAGTCTTTTAGTCGATTCTTGTTTATTTGCCCTGCCCCCTTAGGGTTACTATATTTCAAGTTCCCAAATAGAGGACACTGCTGGGAGGGGGGTACAGTTTGGGGGTGCTGGAGGGGTCTGTGTGTAGTGCGAGGGAGTATTTAGGGGAGTGTCAGAGGAGGGGATTTGGGGGATGCTGGAGGGAGCTACATGGAGCGCCTCCTCCCCCCCCACCCCCCGGCCCAGATGCCTGTATCTCCTCCCCCCAGAGCCCAGCTGCAGGCTACGTTCCATGCAGCTTCGTTACTGTCCCACCAGGCAGAGACTATCCATACCTACTGATACGGAGTGGGTGCATAATTTAAAGTTTCGTCCATCCCCGGAACAGCTCGAGTCACATGCATCCCTCCGCCTCCCCCCCCCAACAGACTCCCCCCCCTTTGACCCTCAGTCTCCCCTCCCGGAAAGCAGCAGCCCCTCCCTGCAGCTCCTAGCTGTTGTTCCTGCCTTTTCCCATGGGGCACAGCTTGCCAGCTCTGGGAGCTGCTGTGCAGGGAGGCCTGGCTGCACCATGTGACTGAGCGGGGCCAGCAAACCCGGGAACCGTAGCCCGCCCACACCTCTTGCGCAGGCGCACTGCAAGTTGGGGAACCAGGCTCCGCTGGGTCCAGCGCTCCTAGTGGCGACCAGCAGCTATGCAGCACCAAATTTTGCAAGGAAAAAATGAAATTCTGCTTATAACATTAATTCTGCACAAATACTGCATTATGCAGTGGCACAGAACTTCCTCGGGAGTAAATTGTTTGTAGTACCTTCTTTAGTAGGATGGGGGAATGCTAATGTACTTCCTTCTTTATCAACCCCCTGAAGCCACCTTCCCTCCACCCCCTGGAGAGAGATACATATACTAGTGCAAACTGGATTCTGCACAGACCAACAGACAAAGAAAGGGTTTGTGGATAAATAGTCTGGTTATAAACTGGCTCATGGTCTTCTTCCTAATCCAGCAAACAGGCAGGACCCATGTTCCACAGAGGGCCCCGGTCTTTAGGGTAAGGTTGGGAGCACTGGGTGATGGTTCTGAGCTGATGCAGTGATGAACTGGTAACCACAAGGATACCCCTAGGGTGGGGTTTGAAGGATTTACCCTGCCAGAATTCTTGTTAGTAGGGGGTTAATTCTGGTAAGCTTATTAGTAGGGTTTTTTTTTATTGTTTAATGTTTTTCTCTATAATGCTTTTTACCTTAAGAATGAAATAGGCTTGCATAGAAAGAACTGTGTGATACTTATAACTTTAGCAATTATACTGCTAAACATCTCTGAAGAGAAAGCAAGCAGGTATCCTTAGGCAATCTTTCTGTGCTGGGAATAACCCATTCAGTAATTACAACAAGGAGTCTGGTGTCACCTTAAAGACTAACAGACTGTTAGTCTTTAAGGTGTCACCAGACTCCTTGTTGTTTTTGTAGATACAGACTAACATGGCTACCCCCTGATACTTGACACCGTTCAATAATTGTGCAGCCTGGAAATACCCTGGTCAGAAGGGAGAGAGATGCTGGTCTACACACAAGGGAGGTGATGGCCAGGGGAGCTGGAACCCTGAGGGTAGGCGCCCTTGCTGGACCACTGCGGTGGAAAATACAGATGCAGTTGCCCTGAACTGCAACAGTTTCATTTAAGGAATTTGGAATTAGTATATAAATCACCCAGAATCTTTGGTGAAGTGAGCAAAGCTATGAACTTTGGTAGAATAATTTAGTTGTACTTCTCTTGTAATTTGAGGTAAATAGAAAAAAGAAAGCTTTGTGTACTGTTTTCTTATGAGGCTGCAGTAGAAGGTTTTGTTTTTTATTTAGCTTTTTGTGAAGTAGCATATTTACAAGCTTATGCCCTTCCATTAATGTAGATACTGTTTTGTATCAGATAGCGTACAGTATTGAAATTTTTACTATAGTTATATTTTTTTCCACTTTCGAACAGACAGAAAACCACAAATCTTTTGCTAATATGAAGAAAACATTTGAACAAATGTGCATGACATTTGTTGGTGCTGCCATCTAAAATGTGCAGCTTGTTGGAAAAAATAAGCTGATCCAATGAGTATTATGTAATATGCAAGTTAAAGTTTCATATATGAACACACAATATCTATGAAAAAACTTGTGGTTTAGCCATTTTAGGTTTTAGCAAGGGAAATAATGTGACTTAATCATTGGAGGTGCATGCATATTATGGATGTTACCTGATTGCTAGCAAAACATTTATAAATCACAACAACATGCATGCAAGAATGGCAGTTGGAAGGCAAAATGTCTTGGTCAAGACTTTATATTAAAATAAGTTCTAGTCTCTGACCAAGTTATTGTGATAACACTTGAATATCTAAATCTGTCAGTTACTTCTCATAAAATTACTGTACTAACTCAGTTGAAATTTCTTGTTTTTTGGATCAGCTCAGAAAAAATTTATTTCACTGTAGGGAAAGCTTTTTAAGGAAAAGCTGTTGGGCCACTTTTGAGTTACCTGAATGTTAATTTTAAGAAAAATCCCCTTTTAGTTATTACTAAACACAGCTTTATTTTGAGACTTCAAACTCTGTGTGTACTATACACATCCAGAATGAAACTGCTAATTTACTCAAACTTTGGAAATATTATTGATTGTAAATAGTGTGCCAAGTGTGCACAGAATATTATTTCCTTAATTTTGGGAATATACCAAAGTGGAATGCCCTGAATATTGTTATATCAGAGATGATGGGAAGGATGTGGACTTGAAGAATTTTCTAATTATCTCACAGCAAATTCTTTACACAGGTTTGATCTCTTGCTCGGTGTGAGCAATGTTCAATATTTTTGCTGCAAAAATAACTTCCTCACTCTTTCAATTTGTGACCTTCATGATGGCTTATAACAAATTAAAATTTTACTTCAGAAGTAAATTCAAGTGCTCTGGATATGGCCAGTATTACAAGGAATGAAAACAGGCTGAAGTTCTGTGAGCAAAGGGTAATGCTAAACATCAATATATTACATTGTGCGGCTGTGTCTGTTTGTTATGGGATAAGTTCTGTGTCCTTTAACTTTTTCAGTAATGATCTGGAAGAAAGGGGTACAAAGTGTGCTGTGTAAATTCACAGATGGCACTAATTTGAGATGTGTTGCAAGTGGCATTCCAAACAAAAATAATCAAAAGGCATCTGCAGAGGAGAAATGTGGCAGGAAAGAGGATTCATCTTGGAAAAATTCAAGTTTAATACATCAGGGAGAAAATAATCGGAATCACACATACTTAGTAAGAGGTAGAAAAGTAGTAAGAGAGACCTGAGAATGATAGTGGATAGCCTAATAGGTATGAGCTTTGAGTGAGTGCTACAGCCAAAAAAGCCAGTTTGATTTGGAGCTGTATACACAGAGGCGCCACAGTATGGAATAGGGAGGTAGTAATTCCTTTTGCATTGCTCCGAGACCCATGCCTAGCATGTTGCATTCAGTTCTAGGTACTTCAGTAACAGGAAGATATAAACAAATGGGAAGGACTTCAGAGAAGAGCAATAAAACTTAGTAACTGGAGGTTACTAGTTTAATATTTCTTCTTAAACAGTTTATTTATATAACTATAGTGGGGACATGATCACTGTCTACAAATACCTAAAAGGTGTAAACACTAGAGAGGCAGAAAAATTATTTGGGTTGGTTCAAGGAGTTAAAATTAATAGTAATGGAAAATTTGGCCCAGTACTGAGGAAGGACCTTCCTAGTGGTAAGATTTGCCTTTAAAATAGTCTTCAAAGGAAAGTGGTGGAAACTATTAGATGTTTCCTTTTAACATGGTGCTTTAAACAGTGATCAGTAAGACTGTAAAATTAGCAAGGGAGTGGAGGTGGTAATACGTCATGCATTATGTTAAAAAGTAAATCTTTACTGTGATATAGTACAAGCACCTCACTGCAGAAGGAAATACTGTGGTAAAAACAATACTTTGGAACAATATTTTATTACTTTTTAATGGTGTCTGCTGATCATTCCTAGATTGTAACAGAGACGATTGGGCCATAACCTAAACCCAAATAAAAAACCTCAGAACACTGGAGAAGTTTGGATTCAGATCTGAAATTTACAACTTGGATCCACACTAATGTGTGATATAATATGTGAACAAATGGAAATCTGTATAATAGTAAGAGGAGGCTTTTATTCATTAATAAATGTAATCCAAATAACAAGTGTGCGAACATTTTAAAAACTATGAAGAGCAAAGCAGTATGTTTTTATATAATGTGGCTCTCATATGTAGACTGATTTCTGAAGTGTCTGAAATATTAGTTTCTGAATCCTAGAATAGCTTAGCTGTCTTAGTCTCAGTAAATTAGATTTTCAGAAAGCCTTTGACAAGGTCCCTCACCAAAGGCTCTTAAGCAAAATAAGCAGTCATGGGATAAGCGGGAAGGTTCTTTCATGGATTCGTAACTGGTTAGAAGATAGGAAACGAAGGGTAGGAATAAATGGTCAGTTTTCAGAATGGAGAGAGGTAAATAGTGATGTCCCCCAGGGATCTGAACTGGGCCCAGTCCTATTTAACATATTTATAAATGATCTGGAAAAAGGGGTAAACAGTGAGGTGGCAAAATTTGCAGATGATACAAAACTACTCAAGATAGTTAAGTCCCAGGCAGACTGCGAAGAGCTACAAAAGGATCTCACAAAACTGGGTGACTGGGCAACAAAATGGCAGATGAAATTTCATGCTGATAAATGCAAAGTAATGCACATTGGAAAACATGATCCTAACTATACATATACAATGATGGGGTCTAAATTAGCGGTTACCACTCAAGAAAGAGATCTTAGAGTCATTGTGGATAGTTCTCTGAAATCATCCACTCAATGTGCAGCGGCAGTCAAAAAAGCGAACAGAATGTTGGGAATAATCAAGAACGGGATAGATAATAAGACAGAAAATATCATGTTGCCTCTAGATAAATCCATGGTATACCCACACCTTGAATAATGAGTACAGATGTGGTCGCCCCATTTCAAAAAAGATATATTGGAATTGGAAAAGGTTCAGAAAAGGGCAACAAAAATGATTAGGGGTATAGAACGGCTTTCGTATGAGGAGAGACTAATAAGACTGGGACTTTTCAGATTGGAAAAGAGGCGACAAAGGGGGGATATGATAGAGGTCTATAAAATCATGAGTGGTATAGAGAAAGTAAATAAGGAAGTATTATTTACTCCTCATAATACAAGAACAAGGGGCCACCAAATGAAATTAATAGCAGGTTTAAAACAAACACAAGAAAGTATTTTTTCACGCAGTGCACTGTCAACCTATGGAACTCCTTGCCAGAGGGTATTGTGAAGGCCAGTACTATAATGGAGTTCAAAAGGGAGCTAGATAGATTCATGGAAGATAGGTCCATCAATGGCTATTAGCTAGGATGGGCAGGAATGGTGTTCCTAGCCTCTGTTTGCCAGAAGCTGGGATTGGGTGACAGGGCATGGATCACTGATAACCTGTCTGTTCATTCCCATTGTGGCACCTGCCATTGGCCACTGTCAGAGAACAGGATACTGGGCTTGATGGACCTTTGCTCTGACCCAGTATGGCCGTTCTTATGTTCTTAAAAGGATTGGCTTCTTCAGGATTCTGGAACAGGTTAGACTGTGCCTCCTCACTATTTATAGAGTGACAACAGTGTACTAACTTTCTTCATTCAAAATTAAACTTTTCTAAGTTAGTGTACTGTTGATCTAACTTCCAGTTCTCAAACCGTGCACTTTTGGATATTGAACACCTTTATTTTTAGCAATGAGCCATTGGGTGCCATGAGAGTCACTGGACATGGTTGGCCCCAGTAAATCAAACTGAAATGGATTGTTTTTCCATTAGTAGCAGTAACTACTGTCCATCATACAGTTGGTCTTAGACTCAAGAGGATGCTTGAGTCATGAGGAAGACAGGCCATTGAGATTATGCCACCATCTTTGGCCTTACAGCCTAGAGGCTTTAAATTATTTCCATTTAACAAAATGTTAAGATTTTTTAACTTCACCCTATTTAAAAGCATGCAACTTTATTAAAAAGGAATTCAAGTAAAGCAAATGGATTAAAGGAGAAACCTTCTCAGTGCAGCAAAAGACCAATGGAAAACCTTTGCTTATCAACTCCTATTTGCATGTTTCTCTGTTGCCCTCTAGTTCACCTTCAAAAGAATTTTTAGGGCACAAAGAGACTAAACTTTAGCTTCTTTTTCTTATAGGAACTTCAGTGGAAAATATATATTGCATTTGGAGTTGTGATAACCTTATTGTAGTCTGAATGATGCTGGGTATTGGGGAAGGTTGATAGTGCCCCTTGTAAGTACAGTACATCCTTTGATCTTTTAGGTCATGAGGTTATTGCTGATATAAGGGATTGTATTGACTACAGCTCCATTATAACTCATTAGCTCTCCTCATAAAACATACACCAGAGATCTGGTCCATAGTCCAAATGCAGACAGAACTTCCACTAAATTCTAGGAAATCCTCGCTAGCCTAAAGATTGCCGGACTGGGTCCAAAGAGTAATTGACGTTTTATGGAAACATTCAGATTAAGGGTGTATTCTGAAAGTTAAAATACATTTAATCTGTAAACTATTTAGTTTGTAATAGTTGATTATCCTAATATCGGCCTCCTCCTTTTTGATTTTAGTTTGATAACATGCCTAATAAGCTACTGGGTAATGATGAAGAAGCCCAGCCCAGCCTATTCATTTGGGTAAGCACTAATAATTAAGGCCCTACTTAACTTGCGATATTGCAGAAATTGCGGATTCTGCAATATTAGGCTTCCACTGCAATTTTGACAGCAGGAGCCCTGCCGTGCATGGGACTGACAGTGGGAGCCCTGACTGCCCCAGAGCTGAGAGTGGGAACCCAAGTCCCTGCTCTCAACCCCAGGCCTCTGCTCTGACCCCCGGATGACTGTTGACAGCAGGAGCCCCCCGCTATGACCCCTGGGCGGCTGCTGACAGCAGAAGATTGCAGAAAAGTAATAATGGACTTTATTTTTGTGGCAACTCAGCCACAATTTTTTGATAATCCCGCAATTCAAGTAGGGCCTTACTAATAATACAGTACTAATTATTTAATGTGCCATGAAAAATACTTGCAAGTATATTAGCTGTGTTTCTAGAAAGTTCCCATTTATAAAAATCTGTATGTGCGTATGCATGCTAAAATGTCTTCATAATCAGTGAGAATTTTTGACTCCATTCCCATTAACTTATTGCACTGTATTTGTTCAATAATGTATAGTTTGCCCATTGTTGTGATACATAGGCACATTGATTGTCAAATAAACATCTATAGTATCTCATAAATCAAGGAGACACAGGTATTGAGAATCTAAAGAAAAAAGTCCTAGGATAGGGATGGAGAGAGAGGTAAATTGCTTAATTCTATGGTGGGGATTACAGTGAGAATTTCCTGTGGCTCTCCAATCAGTTAACTATCCATGTTATATGGATTGTTGGCCTAAAGGAACTTGAAAATAATTACTCCTCCCTAAAACTTCAGATTCATTTCCATCTGCCCTACTGGAAAGAGTTAGAGTAGAAGGTCTCCTGCTTGCTCCCCACAGACCAAAATGAAAACCCTATTAATATATTGTCCAGTGTTCTTAACTTATTTCTCAAATTTCAGGTTTGAGAGATTTGAAGTACTAGCAGTATTTGCTTCCACAGTTCTGGCACAACTTGGAGCTCTTTTCATACTAAAAGAAAGGTAGGAATGTGTACTGTTTCCGTTATGATTTACATCTGACGTTCTAACATGAGAAGGTACATGTTGAGAGCGTCTTCAGAACTGTTGCATTCCTATTGGCTTTAGTGGAACTGATGGCAGCTGAGCACCTTACAAAATCATCCCCTCTTTATATGGGTATGGTATTTCCAATTCAGGTTTAGTTTCTTTCTACTCAAACATGTTTTAAAACATTGTCACCTTTTCACACATTCATTTGATGTGGAAGAGGGACCCTTTAATGGTCTTTTTGGCAGAATTAAATTTTTAGACTACTCTTAATAGCCGGATGCCCAGCATAGCCTTGAGTTTCTCCTGTGATGGCAATTGCACCTCATCTGAGACAGTATGCTCTCTTGCCTTACTTGTATATTACTGTTTTCTAATACTTATCCCAGATTTTCTCTGCTACAGTTGAAGATTAATTCTTTGTTACTGTTCATTGACTGAGGAGAATAACTGATCTAAGTCCTCATTATAACATCCTTTTTATTTAGAGGGTTACTCTATCTATCCTTGTTTGTCCTTTCTCTAATGGTAAATTATACCCTGTTTCAGTTTGGTGCCAAGCATATTGGAATAATTACTTCATGTGTTGTCATAAAAATGACATTCTTATCCATACATCTCAATACAGCGTTTGCCATTTTTGCACCGTTGTTGAAGCATTTAATTTGGCATCCTGTATCCCACTCATTACATTTATTTGTGGGTTTAGGTGCCCGCAACTGAAAATCTTTCCTTTATATAGTTAGTTTTTAAAATATAATTTAATAAACACAACTAAAATTGACAATTTATTTTTTGTAGTACAGAACGGTTTCTGGAACAACCTGAGATACACACGTAAGATTGGATTTTTATATATGAAACTATAATTTTTTGTCAGTTTACTTTTGTTTCTAATTCTTTATCTAGTACAAAGTAAGTGTGACTTGGCTTATCTAGTATTAAACTGTTTTCAGTACATTGATATTTCTGTGTTCCAAACTGCATGCAAGCCATGTGGTAATAACTTTTCAATCTATGGCGTGCAATTACAGATCAGTCTACATGAGCCCATAAATAGTCAGATAGTTGAAGAGCAGTTACATATTTGTTCCCTGTAGCTTAGTGCTTCTATTAATTATTTTTAGGGCTGTCAATTAATCGCAGTTAACTCACACGATTAACTCAAAAATTAATCACGATTAATCACAGTTTTCATCGCACCATTAAACAATAGAATACCAATTGACATTTATTAAATATTTTTGGATGTTTTTCTACATTTTCAAATATATTGATTTAAATTACAACACAACACAGTGTAAATTGCTCACTTTATATTATTTTTATTGCAAATAATTGCACTGTAAAAAATTATAAATGAGAGTATTTTTCAGTTCACCTCATACAAGTACTGTAGTGCAGTTTCTTTTTATCATGAAAGTGCAACTTACAAATGTAGATTTTTTTTTTGTTACATAACTGCACTCAAAAACAAAACAATACAAAACTTTAGAGCCTACAAGTCCAATCAGTCCTACTTTTTGTTTAGCCAATCGCTAAGACAAACATGTTTGTTAACATTTACGGGAGATAATGCTGCCCACTTCTTACTTACAGTGTCACCAGAAAGTGAGAACAGGCATTCGCATGGGACTTTTGTAGCTGACATTGCAAGGTATTTACGTGCCAGATATGCTAAACATTCATATGCCCCTGTATGCTTCGGCCACCATTCCAGAGGACATGCTTTCATGCTGATTACGCTCGTTTAAAAAAAAAATGCGTTAATGAAATTTATGACTGAAGTCCTTGGGCAAGAATTGAATGTCTCCGGCTCTGTTTTACCCGCATTCTGCCATATATTTCATGTTATAGTAGTCTCGCATCATGACTCAGCACGTGTTGTTCATTTTAAGAACACTTTCGCTGCAGGTTTGACAAAACACAAAGAAGGTACCAATGTGAGATTTCTAAAGATAGGTACAGCACTCGACCCAAGGTTTAAGAATCCGAAGTACCTTCCAAAATCTGAGAGGGATGATGTGTGGAACATGCTTTCAGAAGTCTTAAAAGAGCAACACTCTGATGCAGAAACTACAGAACCCGAACCACCAAAAAAGAAAATCAACCTTCTGCTGGTGGCATCTGACTCAGATAATGAAAATGAACATGTGTCAGTCCGCACTGCTTTGGATTGTTATCGAGCAGAACCTGTCATCAGCATGGATACATGTCCTCTGGAATGGTGGATGAAGCATGAAAGGACATATGAATCTTTAGCACATCTGGCATGTAAATATCTTGTGACACCGGCTGCAACAGTGCCATGCAAACACCTGTTCTCACTTTCAGGTGATATTATGAGCAAGAAGCAAGCGGCATTATCTCTTGCAAATGTAAACAAACTTGTTTGTCTGAGCGACTGGCTGAACAAGAAATAGGGCTAAATGGACTTGTAGGCTCTAAAGTTTTACATTGGATTATTTTTGAATGCAGTTATTTTTGTAATTTCAACTGTCATGATAAAGAAATTGCAATACAGTACTTGTTTTATTAGGTGAAATGAAAAATACTATTTCTTTTGTTTTTTACAGTGCAAATATTTGTAATCAAACATAAATATAAAGTGAGCACTGTACACTTTGTATTTTGTGTTGTAATTGAAATCAATATATTTGAAAATGTAGAAAACATCCAAAAATGTTTAAATAAATGGATTCTATCATTGTTTAACAGTGTGATTAATCGCAATTAATTTTTTTAAACGCGTGATTAGTTTTTTTAATTGCTTGACAGCCCTAATTATTTGTATATTTTTATTTATTAAAATTTCTCTTTTGAGGTTGTACAGTTAATTGAGAATTGAATTAAGCCTGATCTTACCACAAATAAAATATACAATATTGATAAATGTTAAAATGATTGCTGTTGGTTATTAAATATTCAACTGGAATTTATCATACTGGAGAATGTTCAGAAGTGTTTCATTAATGGCAGTTTCACTTTGTAACATCACAGGTGGATACTGTGAAAAATGAAGATTAATCTATTTTTCCGCTCTTTAGGGGACGATTGTTGGTTGGTACTTTCGTGGCTCTCTTTTTCAACTTGTTTACAATGCTTTCCATTCGGAATAAGCCTTTTGCTTATGTGTCTGAAGGTATGTGTTGAATGAACTGTGACAAGATTCAAGGAAAGGCAATGAATATTAACTGTTTTCTTCCAAATATATTTTTTGTTAGATAAGAAATACAGTTGCCATGTATGTCATTTCTAATAGTTCAATAAATCTAATTAAAAGGTTTTGAATTGGAGGCAGTCTCCTCATGTGTCATGTACTAAGTCCATAGGGGGGGACAGAGAGTAGTACACCATCATCAATATGGTAAATTGAGTGTAATTTCAGATGCAGCTACTACTTTGCTGTATTTAAAACAAATGTAAGAAGCACTTCTTCACACAACTCTCAGTCAACCTGTGGAACGTGTTGCCAGGGGATGTTGTGAAGGCCAAAAGTATAACTGGGTTCAAAAAAGAATTAGATAAGTTCATGGAGGACAGGTCCATCAAAGGCTATTAGCCATGATGGTTAGGGATGCAATCCCATGGTCTAGGTGTCCCTAAACCTCTGACTGCCAGAAGCTGGGACTGGACAGCAGGGGATGGATCACTAGATAATTATCCTATTCTGTTTTTTCCCTCTGAAGCATCTGGCATTTGCCACTATCAGAAGACAGGATACTGGGCTAGATGGAACATTGATCTGTCGAAGTGTGGCCATTCTTATGTTAAGATACAGATTCGTTTCTTCTTCATCTGTTTTAGCTCCTTTATTCAACCAGTAAAATTTTAATGTGGGCAATCTTACAATGATACAGACAGACGTGTACAGATATTTAAAGTTTTGTTAATAAAAACCATCTTCTTTATACAGCTTACTCCTTGGAGTTTTTATTCTTTGTATTGTAAAATCACAATCATTCTCACTAATTGAGCATTATGGAAATTTGCAAATTGAGTGAATGCATAACTTTTTTAAAAGGCTGTTGCATCACAAAATATATTTGTTTTGGTTAGTGTAATTTTAATTACTTATAGTATTTTATATGTAACACACTAATGTGGAAAAGCAGAGTGAATTGAGCAGGGAGCCAGGAACTTCTAAATTCTAACCCTGACTTTCAGATTGAAGCTCAACCATTCTGTACCACATTTTCCACGTCAGTGAAATGGGAGTAATAATATTTACTTTATAAGGGCTTTGTGAGGATTAATTAATTGTAGTGCTCCCTTTCATAAATGTAGAGTTGTATCAGTGCTTATTACTATTTATAATTTGTGTTGTAGTATATTTTGAAAGTAAACTACTTAATCTAAGACTCATTACAGCTGTCTTCTTAGAGAAGGGATGAGATCTACATGTTTCAGGAAAATTAACTGAGTTTTGTAGACTAGCTTCAAAGTCAGAATTAGCAAAGTTCTACATTACCGTCATGATTTGCTTTTGACCAGATCCCTCACAAGGAGCTAGAGAGGAAAATAATTAACTATGTAGTGAAGAACCAGAAACCTGTGATGAATTTAAACAAAAATTAAACGTATGTGATAGGAAACAGTCATAGTAAATGTTTATTAGTTATAACAAAGACAGATGGAGTATTCCTAGGGTCTGTGTTGGGATGTAGAGGAAGCTGTAGACAAGGAGATGGTGAAATGTGCTGATAATAATTATTTAGGCTAGTGAAAACTTAAGGAGGATTGTGGAAATACTCGAGAGACCTAGTCAAATGGTGTTGGGTATCAAGGTGAAAGATGATTAACTGGGATCAAGGCAAGGTACTGAAAAACTATCTAAATTTCTCTTGTGTAACTGTGCACTGCCCCCCCACACACACACACACACACTAGGGTTGCCAATTTTGGTTGGATGTATTCATGGAGATTTAATAACATGATATAATCTTTAATTAAAGATCAATCTTTAATTATTGGAGACTCCAGGCCAGTCCTGGAGGGTTGGCAACCCTAGGGTAAGGGGTGGGGATTGAGGTAAAAAGTTTGGGGGCTACAGTTTTAGGGTATAACCCTGTCATCTGACTAGGGGTCAGAGAGGAATTTTGGCCACCAAATTTGAGCATTGCTGAATTGATTAGATGCTCTGTGTGAGGCCTTCAGCATATATTGGGTGTTGGCTACTGTTGGAGGCAGTATATAGGCACTGATCTGATCCACTATACTAATTCCTATGTGCCTGTAGGCATACAGCAAATGTTACTGTCTGAGCCTCAATTAGAAAGGTGTATTGATTTTATTTATGTATTTATTTATTTATTTTGCAATTTGTTTAGGAGAGCTGGATTAAATGGCTCAAAGGTGGTGGTTTTTCCCCCACATCCAATTCACATGCGGTGTTCTAGGGTGGATAATGCTGTAGCTGCCTGTATTTGCAAAAAATTCCTTTCAACATAGTTACAGGGCCAGAATATGCTCCCTTTCCTCATGTTGGTGAGCAGCTACGTGCATGAATAGTCCCATTGATGTCAATAGGACTACTCACGTGATTTTCTGCACACAAGTGTGTGTGTGTGTGTGGAAGGGGAGGGTTTACAAGTAGTGTGCTCCCATAGAGAGCCCAAGTTTGTATGCATTTAGAAGTTAACAAAGGCAATATTTTCTTTAAAAATAAACAGTGAAGTCTGCAGTTGCACTTGAAATTAATCCAATTCAGATGTTGCATGAGAAAAGGTTTCTAACCAACCACAGGCCAGAAAATGTTCTCCTTTCTCAAGTGATATTTGACACTCTGATCATTGTGATCTAATGTTAAGATGGATTATTCACTCATATTTTACTACTTCCTTACATTATTTTTTAAAAACACACCTTAAGATGAATTGTTGTTCTGATTATAATTGGTACCTTTGTGTTTTTGTGAAGCTGCTAGTACGAGTTGGCTTCAGGAGCATGTTGCAGATCTTAGCAGAAGGTAAGGCTTCATGATATTTTTTTTCATAATAGCTAATACTTAAGTGAATATTAGTCATTCTTATGTCATACCAAGTTATTTTTAACTGCATCACATCGTATAGGGCACTCTGACCAGGGATTGAGACATAAGCTTGGTATTAAAACATTTCTGCTCTCTCTCTTGCTCAGCAAATCTGAGTAACATTCCTCAAATGAGTGAAGATAATTCTGTCTCCAGCAAGGCCAGTCTGAACTGCATTTCCTAGCAGCCATTAGGGCTGCCTCACAGCTCAAAATACTTCATTTAAACATAAGAATTTTATGGGGACGTCTCACTTAGTCCAGCAGGAAGATGGAGGCCTCCAAAAAGACCAGGCATAGAGACAGGTGCACATTGTTTCTCTCTCAGGTTTTTTCCTTTTATTTTCTTTGTGTCCCAAGCATCACAGATTTCCTCCTCCTCCTCCTCCTCCCCCCCCCCCCCCCCCCCAGTCAGCAGCAACATCCTGCCTGCATGATCCTTGAAGTGGGTCTATTGTATGTTGGAGTAGCAGGTGTAGCTTATTAATTCTAGTTTTCCAGCACTTACAACAACAACTAGCTGACAATTGCTTTTTTCTGTTTTGTTGCAGTCTGTGTGGAATCATTCCAGGGTTGAGCAGCATCTTCCTTCCACGAATGAATCCTTTTGTCTTGATTGATCTTGCTGGTGCTTTCGCTCTTTGCATTACATATTTGTTAATTGAAATTAAGTACGTATAATAATTATTTAAATAAATAAGTATTTTAGGGTATAATTCATGGGAAATCTCCTTTTAGGTTTGCAAGCACTGGTCATGTGATAAGCTGAAATGTCACATGTGACATGAACCATAATCATGGAGACATTTGTTTTTTAAAGGTTGTGTGTTTCAGATACATATGCTTAGTGAATTTTTGCATGTTCTCTCTCTATATCTATACAATGGTGGCCATTTAAAAGAAAAGGCATATGGCTTGCAGATACCCTAGATTTCATTTAAATGTCATTTAAAATTACCCTTTTTGTTTCAGCAATTATTTTGCTGTAGATACAGCCTCTGCGATAGCTATTGCTTTGATGACTTTTGGTACCATGTATCCTATGAGTGTCTACAGTGGAAAAGTACTACTTCAGGTGAGACAGTGTCAGAAAATGTTTTAATTTTACCTTTTTAAAAATGTACATGTTTAATGATATCCACCATTAAACATGTAAATGAAAAATGTTCACAAGAAAGAAATGATACATGATTAAACTCTGAAGAAATTTCGAATGTGAGACAACTATGTATCACGGAATCATAGCAATCACAGATGCAGCCTATAGTTTTGATTGAGTTGTTGCTTTTTTGTTACATATACTATCAGCATTGTGAGTTTAGTAAACTACCCGCTCAAGTAATTACATTTAAAGGACTATACTACTATAAATTATAAAGGCAGCAGACAGTAGATCATAATAAAGTTAATATAACTTTAAGATTAGGACCACATTAGCATCTGTCTTTATTGTAACATTCTTTTGATTATTTTCAGACAACCCCACCGCATGTGATTGGTCAGCTAGATAAACTTATTAGAGAGGTAAGTTAGCGTATAACATGTTACATGAGGTGCACAGCAAAGAAGTTCAATACAAAGGCTGAATGTGCATAGTGAGAACCTACAGGTCCTTCAAGGTTCATCCCACAGAAGATAAATCTGACTGCAAATGAAAATTCTACACTTGCACTGTGTGTGTGTGTGTGTGTGTGTGTGTGTGTGTGTGTGTATAAAAGAAATACAAAGCTTACAATCTAAATTAGACAGTACGGTTGATATGTCTTATAGAAATGTTCAAGTTCTTAAATAGGGTACAGATCTTCTTTAAAATATATTCAATCTTTGATAAATTATCACTGAAAGGGTTTGCTGCAATTTGTTTTAAGAAGGCATAAAAGAGGGAGTTCCTTTTATATTTTAACAAATAGAGGAGTTGTAAGCATTCGTGAAAGAGCCTGGGTGTCGGAAAAAACAGCTCTTGCTATATGAAGAAATTACACATTTTCAGATAGTGGGAATACATTGGATATAAATATATTTAGGAGTTTAGTGGCATCTTCTTCAATAAAGTCCCTTATGAAAATTTAGTTGAAGGGAGAGTCCACAATGCAAAATGAAATATTGACAATATCATCTACAGCTCAGCTATCTAAACGAATCTACATTTCTAAAAGACTGGAAACATTTTCTTTAATGATAATTTACCACATATTTGTGTTTTAAATTAGGTTTCTACTTTGGATGGTGTCTTGGAGGTTCGAAATGAGCATTTCTGGACATTGGGCTTTGGTACTTTGGTATGTTTTGTGCCATATTGTCTTGTTCCTTAAAAAGGGAACATTATCTTTACTCTCTTAGCTAAATAATTACTAAATAAATGAGATCTCTTGTTATTTTAAATGGAATTTAGAAATTCAGATGCCATAAAATACAGTTTCCCCCCTTCCTGTTAAATAAAGCTTGAGTGGATTTTTTTTTTTACACTAATTGCAGCACTTTTCTGAAAACTTACAGTGAGGCTTGGAATCCTCTCCCCCACCCTGAACAAGATGCAATTTTTGGTTATATACAGAGGCATCATGTCACAGATCCACCATAACAATCTTTTGCTAAAGAAGTGCACATCACAATTCAGAGTGGTATCATAAATGTAGAACTATTTTATATCTAGAAAGTGAACAATACCACTAGCAGCAAATTCATGTGTTTCTTACTATAGGCTAAATTATAGCTTGGTCCTTGTAGGATTTTTTTATTCTTTTTAAAGTGCTCCTTCCATGAAATCTTTGCTTTGAACCATGCATTGATAACCAGTTTTCAGACTTGTCAGAGGATGTTAGAGTTGAATCTTCTTGGTGTAGTAATCATTGACTTATACAACAACTTCGGAGTAAAGCTACCATTTTGGATCCTTAAAAATTCTTCCAAATGTCATTAATGATTAGTGCCAAATCAATTGATATGGGATTCTCCTATGGCTTTATCTTATGGGAAGTTAATATGAATTGTCTCTGAGGAAGAAAAAGCTCAGCTACGAGAAGTGAAAAGGAAATTATGGTCTCTTCAACTGAACCATATGTGCTCTAGCAATCCTAAAACAGAAGTAGAATTCCTGTACTACAGAGGAGCACCTAATAAGATCCTAAATGGAAAATATGGAGTTTATTAAAACTTTCTAACAGCTGTTTTTTCTTCTGTGATATAAAGTGGACACACAAAGGAAATTATTACTGAAACTAAAGCGGGGGATCCAGGTACTCAATGACAGCCAGGAATTAAGAGTCCTTTAAAACTTTTCTTTCCTTTTTATTCTTAGCATGTCATACCCTGAAAACATAGGAGCTTCTTGGCCAAAGTTAACTTACCCAAATTTGCTGATAAGGAAGGGGAAGCTCTGTAGTCCCCTATTCTGTTACCTGAAATACCAGATGTTACTGAACTACTGAAGTCATGCAGTGGGAATAAATGGGACTCAGTGGATTCTCCACAAATTTTTACAAAACCTTTGCACCTCAGCTTGTCTGTTTGTACTTGGCACCTTCCAATCTGCAGTGAAATTGGAGTGATGCCCAAGATCTGCCTACACTCTTGCTAGTTAATGCTACCAGAAAGAAAACCAGCCATTAACTGCATTTGCTGTAGGTCAAATTCTTTGTTAGATATGGATGCAAAAGGCAAATGAGGGACAGAACTTTGTTTCCCATGCTGTCTGCAGTACTAGTTCAAGTTACGGGAGAGGGAAATATTAGTAAGGGTCAGGCAGGCACACACCACACACAGATTATATCCGGTAGTGTAATCACTTCAGACACAGAGCTCTGAGGCAATGCTTCTGTTTTTACCTTACCTTCAAGCTCACCTGGTACAGGTGTTGTCTCTTGCATTCAACAGCAGCACAATGACATACTTTCCTCAACTTGGAGTTTGTTTTAATGCTCTTTCTTCTTCTCTCCACCTGCTCCTGTCATGTTACAGCTTCTGTCCTCACTTCACTGTTAACTGTAAACAATATTTAACACCAAGTGCATAATGTTTTAATAATCTAAATTTCCCAGATATGAATCTCAGCCTATCACCATTCCCAGTGTTTTGACCTCATGGACATTTGTCCTCATCATGGAATTACTTAAGTGTGGCTCTGATCAGTAGTCTCCACTGATGCTCCAAAGTAGTCTCCACGTTTGTGCAGAATAAGATACTGCTTAGCTCTCCTTGTAGTTAAAATGTTTAATGCAAATCAGGATCTCTACCTAAAAGTCTTATAACAGCCTGGTTGGTTTTTGTTTTGGTTCACTTTCTAGGCTGGATCAGTACATGTACGAATTCGAAGAGATGCTAATGAACAAATGGTACTTGCTCATGTGACTAATCGACTGTATACTCTAGTCTCTACTTTGACTGTTCAGATTTTCAAAGATGATTGGATCAGACCTACCTTAACATCTGGGCCTATTGCAAACAATATGTTGAATCTTTCAGATCATCATATTATTCCAATGCCACATTTAAAAGCTACTGATAATTTGAACCCTGTTACATCCACTCCAGCTAAACCTAGCAGCCCACCTCCAGAATTTTCTTTTAACACACCGGGCAAAAATATGAACCCAGTTATCTTTTTAAACACTCAGGCAAGACCCTATGGATTGGGCCTTAACCATGGATCTGTACCTTACAGCAGTGTATTCAATCAAGGACTTGGAATTCCAGGGATGGGAGCAACTCAAGGATTCAGGACTGGTTTTACAAATGTCCCAAGCAGATATGGAACTAGCACTCGAGGTCAACCCCAGCCATAATAAACTCTATTATGTGTTATTTATTGTATATAAGGGTATTGATTTAATTTTTTTTATTGTCCAGTTTTTGTAAACCATTAGACCATTCTAAATTACTGGGATCAATTGTATTGTTTATATTCATTAAACAGTTAAATTGCATTTCCACTTTTTTATGTTAGTATATATGATGCAACAGATTTTTGACAGACTTGTGAAACTTGCAAATAGTTTTTACAGCTACTGAATTTATTCACATGCAGATTTTCTATTCACCTTTCTTTTTCCTCCAATAATGTGCTGAAGTATAACATGAACATAGTTTCATGAGAGAGCAAAATTGTGAAGGCGGAGCATCCTCCATTCTTTTTAACTGCGAATTGTTTCTGAATTGTTTTACTGAATGATTGTGCAACAGCAGTGATTCATCTGTTCTGCCCCAGTTCTCATTTCTTTTCTTAAAAATTATGATCACTGTTTGATCGATCTTTGGCAAAGTCACAGTTAGATTTTCCTTGGTTGGAAAAGTATTTTTTCTCAATACACATTTTACTGTCCAGTATAAGGACAAACTAAGACTTTTAAATTTCTTATTGACATTAAGGAATCATATATTATATAATTTTATTTCTTGTTGATTTTATTGAGGTACAAAATGTTCATCAACTGTTTTCTTGTAACTGTTTCATACTTATATTTGTATTTTTTTAATTTAATTGCAAAATTACATGACAGTATACTGGGAAATAAAATATTAGAAACTCCATATTCTAGAAGCACCTCTTTCTTACCTATGGCCACTCCCGTAACAGTATGAACCAGATAAATGACTTTGGCATGCACAGTGGATGGCTCACTCTTGATAAGCCACTAGTGCATCCTTCAGATTGTTGAAAGTCCCCTTTCATTCCATTGTGACTTTATATTTCTCCTGTAGAGCTTCAGAAAACAGTTCACCATTTATAAAGCTAGTTCACAGGGATAGTATACATCAATGGTGCAGAAAAAGAGAACGCAGTATATGGCAGTGATGCTCTGCGTTTGTGGTACTGAGGGCCATATTGGCAACATGACTGCCTAATTTTCATGTACACTTAACTATTTTTTTAAAATTTTTGTAAATAACTTTATATATGACACTTCTGATACAAGATTTTTGTCATTCTTTTGCCTTTGCTAATTGTATTTTAAATTTCACTGTTAGCTGGTCACAATCAATGTGTTTGGTATCTAATCACACAAAAAAGCAAGTATCTGTGTATGTTAAATGGGAAATGCTGATTTTAATTGTATTCACTCTCATGGCCATGAGGCTGCTGCCCCAGCAGGATGACATGCAGGGTTTGTGTGGACTGTATTTTGTTGTGCAGAGGAGGCTGGGAGGATTCCACCTAGCAGACGATTCTGGTTTAACCAGTAAATCCGCTCCAAATGCAATCTCACAGGGCAGTGAGTGCTGCAATGGAAGTAAGCAAATTGTATGGCCTGACTGGATCTGAGAGATTGTAAATTCTTGGGGACCGTCTTTTTTTGTTTGTGGATAGAGTTCCTACCAGAATGAGCTCCATAACTGGGGCTCCTATGCATTACTCATTGCAATACAAGTAAAGTAATACATTGTCATCAGAGAGATCCTTTGTGTAACGACACTTAGTGCTTTTCCCTCTTTGTTATAACCAGCACCACACACACTTTTTCAAAGGCTCTGGTAGCGGCCACTGCATCCCTACAGGAACCAAAGATTCAAGAACTGTCATATTTAGATGACTGACTGGTAGCAGCTCTATCCAAGCAGGAGGTCCAAGCAGCAGTTTTACAAGTTGTGGATCAGCAGATGGCCTGGAGTTCTTCATCTTTGCTGTGTCCCACCTGGGCACAGTATTCGCCATGCAGATAGGGAAGGGGAGATGCTGTCCAGATGCCAGATCTTTTATACAAAGATGAACTCGGTTTCCAATGTGCTCTGAATTGACTCCACCACCAACCTCCTGCCATTTGTCTTCTGAGGCAATGGTAAGTGATGACCCTGACTTTCTTCTACCAAGTGTTTTTTCTCTGGGTGTCTGTCTGATTGGACCAATGAGACCCCACCCCAAACTGTGCTTTTGATTTGTCAGTCAGTTTAGGGTTTCCTCTGGCTAAGTCTGCCTTTAGCTGCTGTCTAGGCTTTTAGTGTTCTGGGTCACTCATACCTTCCAGCACCTGCTCTCTTCCAGCTGCACTGTGGACCATATCCTTTGCTGAGGCCTTCCTCCATTCTGAATCTGAGACTTGTGCCATTCCAGGTAAGCCTCTTTTGATGAGCCCTAGGGCCTGGAAACTCTTTAGGGAGGGTCGCTAGTTCTCTTATGAGCCCAGGGGACGAGTGTCACCTGAACCACTGGACCGTCTTGTCATGGCCAAGAATAGTCTTCCCCAGAGCTGAGCTATTGCAACCCATTGAAGTCAATGAGATCTAGGTCTGCTAAGTGCCTTTCAGTTCAGGCCCTAAATAGGGAGCTGGTAGCAAAGGGAAAAAGGGACACTGCCTGGGGCTAGCCTGATGCCTCCCTTTCCCCCCTCTTCCCCCAGGCTGGCCCAAGCCTTGCGTGCCTCCCCCCTGGACGGCACTGATGTCAGGCACTGGCCCGAGTCATTCCCCACCCACCCAATGCGGTGCTGGCCTGAGCTGCTCCCGCCCCCCATCTTCATGGGGCTGGCCTGAGCCGCTAATCCCCCTTGGCCTGCGCCACTCACCCCTCAGCCCATATGGGGCCAGCCCAAGCTGCTTGCCCAACCCCTCTCCCCGCTCATGTGGGGCTGGACTGGCCCAAGCCACTTGCCTGAGTCATTCCCTCCGTTCCTCCATGCCCTGCTAGGGATGGCACCCCACTTTTCTTGGTAAAATTGGACATTTGTCCCATTTGCTCTTGACAGCTGATGATCAGTTGGCAAGAGCGAACAGGACAAATGCCCAGTTTTGCCAAAAAAGTCAGGACAGCCGGGCCAGGACTTAATAAAGGGACTGTCCTGGTCAAAACAGGACATACGGTCACCCTTAGCAAAGTGAATAAAAATTTACCTTCCAGAGGAAACCTCAGACACTTCAGAAAGCTGGTGGTGTCAGCTAGTGACACAGGAATAAAAGTGTAGCACTTTTCTCAGGAGCAGTGGGGACCCTTAAACGCGCCATACTGATTTTGTAGGTCACACTTCAGACGGGAGTACATTTTTATGGGTGAGTTAGTGTAAAATAATGAATAGACTTGTAGGAATTTATAATTACAGGCAGTTTCTTAGTAACAGCATCTAACCACATATATGTCATACATGTTACAAATGCCAATACATTTTATTTTCAGAGGCCTTACAGAGCATGAAACCACAGCAAACAAACCACTTTTTAAAAATTAATAACTTAGAAGCCTTTTAACTCATGACAGTTTCTGTACCTTTCCCTTTTGTTAATACTTTTTCTCTGCCTAGTGACATTGTATAGGTGTCTTATATACCGCTTGGACATTAGCGTAACCTCGTTAATGTTCAAACCTCAAATGATTATAACTTAAAATTATTCTCATAACCTGTAAAACATGCACATACTAGCAATGACTCCAAATAATTTTTATTTAATATGACAACTTTTATCGTACATTTACTTTAAAATTAGATAAACAGGTGTTTAAGTTTATTGTGCTCTGTTTTAGAAAATGCATCCAGATTATTGCATCTTAATAGGAGGATGTAACGTTTAAAAATCTCATTTAAAAAAAAAATCTTGCCTTTGTTACAAACAGTGACTTACATTATTAAAATTGAAAATTCTTTAAAATCCATCTTGTGCTGTTTTTTACCTTTTGCATTTCTCTCAACTTGGACAATGAAAATAGAAAATCAAAATTTCATTTTCAGGTTCTCATAATACCACAATGCTGCAACTTTGTGTTGCAAACACTGCAAGGGAATGTTCAGTGCCTTTAAAGTTTCTATTGGAATTTGAAGTTATGGAAATATTGATCTTAGCTTTAGAAAAGCTTATTTGTATAAAATCTAAAATACAGGCCAGTGCCATGACAATTGTTATCACTCTTGGGATGTTTTTGTTTGCTCCTCATTGTGTGGTGTTTAGACTCTCATTCTTTGGAACCTTACACCTACTCTGAATGCTTATTTCATTAGCGCCACTAGTCTACAGCTTGCATTGTATTTAAAAATCCTGTAGTTTTAAAAAATGCACACAATTAAAATGTGATCAGTTCTACTTTTGCTTTGTGCTGCAATACCACCACTCCCTGGTGGGTTCTGCAAGGGCTTATTTATTTTGGGATAAACTGTGGTTGACTCTTGCATGGATGCACAGTGTGTGCAGGAACTCTGCTCTTCTCCCTCCCACCCCAATAGCCACTCTTCTCTTACATGCCTGTGCAAGGGCAGAGCATAGGTGTAGTTCCTGCCCCCACCTTGAGCACAAACCTACCACCTCACAAAGGACAGGACAGGGAGAAGACAATATTTATGGTCCTTTCTCTGCTTCTAGGGGATTAAGCACATGCTCTTTTGTTTTAAGGTGTGCTTCCCTCGGCATGCCAGGAATTCTGGAAGCTGCTCCTGGGGTGGGGTAGCTCCACACCATTCTCAAACAGGCATAATCTGAACACTTATGGTTGGTAATGAGCTCTGAATTTCCATCTTTGGACTTTTTAAAAGTTATTCACTCTATAAAAACTGCAGCTAAACCCTAAACTAGGAAGTATTTGCATTCAGGATCTGGATTCTGTTTAGTTTTAATGTCTAGACTAAAAACATTGATAGTGACATGGAAAAATTCAGGTTTCCCTTCTCTCTCCTCAGGTCAGATGTGGAGGACCAGGTTCTTTCTAGGCTGACAATTCTTGTTTAAAGGCATTTTTATCTGACTTAACTGGACTATGAAGCCAAAGACAGCTGACCTCTGACTAACAAGAGTTGTCATCACATCATGCTTTACTTTAGTGCTCTCCATAACAGTTCTCTCCTGGTGAGAGATGATTAAGAACTTGATGCTTGGGGCTGGTAGCAGTATTTAAAACAGAGCAGTGCTTCAGAGCCACTGTGCTATCACAGATTGAGATATTCCAGCACAAACACTTGTAGGATTTTGTTGAGGTTGTCAACGGTGGGTTTGTTGAGGTTTTGTTCATTGT